TTCAGATTTCTTTGATGAATAGAAAGTTCAGAAGAACAGCATTTATCTGAAATAGAAATCTTTTGTAAAATTATGTCTTTATCATCATTTTCTGATCAATTTAAATTCCTTACATTTATATAGTGCTTTTCTGGGCACTCAAAGCGCTTTACATAGAAGGGGGGAATCTCCTCAACCACCGCCAGTGTGCAGCAGGGCCGGACTGGGACGCAATTTCAGGCCGGGAAATCTCACACATACAGGCCACACATAAAAAAAGGGGCCACAATTGTACCTTTTAGGGTACAACAGCTTGTCACTGGAGCAGTACTCTTAAAAGGACATCTTTCTACCTTTTTTACCCCTAATAGGTACATATTAGTACCTTAGAGTAGTAATTCATACCCCTAAGTAGGGCTGCACGATAAATCACATGCGATATTTAATGTGCATCTTGTCAGTAAAGCCGGTTCTGTAATCAGCGGTAAATCTCCATCACGTGCGTGCTTTCACATGGAGCAGCATTTACTACACAGAGCCGTTGTTCACTGACAAGCTGCGCAAAACCATGTTCATCGTGTCCACGTTCAACTGTGTCCACCTTGTTGAAAACAACCACCTAATTTAAATTTGTTAGCACAGAATGTTATTTATCTTAAAATGACTTAAATACCCTAGATTTAACAAACCTATGTTTCATACAAATATACACTACCAGTCAAAAGTTTTTGAACAGTAAGATTTTTTATGTTTTTAAAGCAGTCTCTTCTGCTCACCAAGCCTGCATTTATTTGATCCAAAATACAGCAAGAGCAGTAATATTGTGAAATATTTTACTATAGAATAACTGCTTTCGATTTGAATATATTTTAAAATGTAATTTATTCCTGTGATCAAAAAGCTGAATTTTCAGCATCATTACTCCAGTCTCCAGTGTCACATGATCCTTCAGAAATCATTCTAATATGCTGACTTGTTGTTCAAGAAACATTTATTATTATTATTATAATTATTGTTATTATGAATATTTAAAACAGCTGAGTACATCAGGATTCTTTGATGAATAGAAAGATCCAAAGATCAGCATTTATCTGAAATAAAAAGCTTTTGTAACATTATACATGCACTATACCAAAAGCTTCGAGTTACTATAATTTTTTTGTTGGGTGGGGGGGCATATTTCTCTTTGCTAAATATTACTTTAATTTAGCAAGGATGCTTTAAATTTATCAAAAGTGATGATAAGGACATTTATAATGTTACAAAATACTTCTATTTCAGATAAATGCCGTTCTTCTGAACTTTCTATTCATCAAAGAAACCTGAAAAAAAATCTACTTTGTTTTCAATGTAGTAATAATAATAATAATAGTAATAATAATAATAATAATTATAAATGTTTTTTGAGCAGCAAATCAGCATATTAGAATGATTCCTGAAGGATCATGTGACTGGTGTAATGACGCTTAAAATTCAGCTTTGAAATCACAGTGTGACTAGAGGGGCGGGGCCGAGAGCTGTGGGAACGCGACACCTGCACCACTCACCAGTCTCGAGTCCCACGGAGGAGCTCCGGAAGGATAAAAGGAGGAGTGACGACAGTGTTGGACGAGGGAGGACCAGGCCTGAATTTTATTTTGTGTTCTGGTTCTGTTTGTGCGCGACAATCGTCCGCGAGGGGCTGTCGCGCTATTTTGTGTTTATTTTATTATTAAAGTTTTCTTTTAACGTTCGCCGGTTCCCGCCTCCTTCTTCCCGTGACTACGAACCGTGTTACATTGGTGCCGAAACCCGGGAGGAAGGAGGGACATGCTGCCAGAGATCTCTCGCCGCTGTGGTGAATCCGCGGTGCCATCGAGCATGGCGGAGCAGTCTGCCGCCATGGACGCTCGAGGCGGTGGGCTGGAGTGAGTTGCCGGGTGAGGGCAGACGAACTCGCTGCCGGCCGCCTGGGATGTGGAGGGATGGCTGCCGCAGTAGAGCGCAGTCTCCTGAGTACCCCCCGGCCTGCGAGGAGCGATGGGGGTATGTGACAAGAGGGGCGGGGCCGAGAGCCCTGGGAACGGATCGAGGCCGGTGGAGTAAATGCTAATGCGCGACACCTGCGCCACTCCCCGGTCTCGAGTCCCACGGAGAAGCTCCGGAAGGATAAAAGGAGGAGTGACGACAGTGTTGGACGAGAGAGGACCAGGCCTGGATTTTATTTTGTGTGCGGCAGGCTGCCGCTTTACTTTCATTTTGTGTTTATTTTATTCAAGTATTTAGATGTTCGCCGGTTCCCGCCTCCTTCTTCCCGTGACTACGAACTGTGTTACACACAGGAATAAAGTGCATTTTAAAATATATTTAAATAGAAATCAGTTATTTTAAATATAAAAATATTTCACAATATTACTGTTTTTGCTGTATTTTGGATCAAATAAATGTAGGCTTGGTGAGCAGAAGAAACATTAAACATTAAAAATCTTACTTGGACTGTCCCAGGTCTTAAAAATACCAAAGCGCAGTGCCCTTAACGCACACTAAACCCACCCACACCGCTCTGGAGCGCTTTTCGAGGCTTACCCCTTGTCCAAATACCCACACTTGCGGTCTTGGCCACTTGAGAGCGCGTGCGCGCGACAGGAAGTAAGTGCGCAAGACTGTCCCAGGTCTTTTAAGTGAAATATTAATAAGATATTACAGAATTTTTTTTTTTTTTTTAGTGTTTTATTATTAATAATATGATGATTATAATTTTTTTTGTCAATCCCATAAGCACGTATTCTGTTCCACACTCCAGTCCAGTTGGTGGCGGTAATGCACCTACACATTGGTTTGCCAACCGCCAATAAACACCGAAGAAGAAGATATTACATATACAGTGGGTACGGAAAGTATTCAGACCTATTTAATCGGTCCCAGGGCTAAATTATGAAAGACCGGAGTATCGATAAGCTCTGACGTTAACGGTTCGGCTATCGGTACTGGAGAAATTAATAAAACACAAATACATTTATTATTGCTATATATACATTATCTTGCAAATTCTATCTCACCAGAGTCGCCAGCTGTTTTTCAAACATTTGTCTATGATGCATTTTTGCTATTCGCAATTCAGAAGCGATATCGCGCCCACGCGGAGGAGCTTCTGCACGCACAACATGAAAGCCCTGTTTAATTATGATAGAAGAGAGAACTAAACATTCAAACATCTGCTTACACTTTAGGCCTGTGGCTGTTTTACTAAGCTAATCTTATTTTTATTTCGATTTTGGCTTCTAAGGATTATACAAAAGAAGACGAGGTAAAGCTAATAAAAACTAGCTGCGTTTTGTATTACGCAACTTCTTTCCCTTCACAGCGGTGAGCATTCGTTCCTCCCTAAAACCCAAACGTAACGTCAGAATCAGCTCAATCGGTGATTGTTGTAAGATGCCGTCTTTACTGTTGCTAAACTGCGGGACATGTTTGATAAAATGTTGAAAGCACAATCCGCACAAGAGACGCTGTTCCTCAGGCTGAAATGTGTGCGCGCGGCA